GTGGGTGTGGGTGTGGGTGTGGGTGTGGGTGTGGGTGTGGGTGTGGGATGTGAATGTGGGTATGGGTGCGGGTGTCGCTGTGAATCTTGTATACTTCGACAGCAACACCCACACCCCAAGAGGAAACCCGTTTTAACCAGTTCATCTTTTTGATACATCATCTGAACGCTTTGAAACAACGTTTTAATCCTTTACTTGTCTGCATGGGTATACTTCGTCAAGACAATCAGTCTGCCAAATTGCAAGTCATTTGAGACTAGTTAGAGGTTCTTTGTCATCTTGACTCGTCTGAGTACGCTATCTCCTTCTCTTTGTTTATTTGTTCCTTTTGTTTTAGAAGATGTATATATGTATTTAGTTAAACTTGAGTTTCATTATTATTTTTCAACTATTTGTATGATTTCACATGCATAGATTTATTTCCATTTTTAAATTATAATAATACGATTCTTCTTTGATTCGGTACAATCAACACAGAAACGAAAAATGTCGACAACAATAAGTGAAAATTGAGGGTGTGGGTGTGTGGTTGTAGTTGTGGCTGAAGACAACATCAATAGACACACCCACACCCAAACTGCTTACCTATGAAACTACAAAGTATTTATTAAAAGAAAGAAAATAAACTACGAGTGCAGAAATATGTCTGATATTCTCTACGCCCCTACAGATTCATGGCCATATCAAGGGCTTTTTTAATGCCGCCGTCAGCAAACAATAGTGCATGTCGACGTTTTTTCAATTTGACTTCTTCATCATGGATCTCTTCTATTTGTTTGACAATAGACTCCTCCACGCCCAACTTTGCAGCTACTTTCGTTATAGCTTTTCGTTCAGCAGCATGCAATTCACCATCGGCAGATGCAGCTTGAAAACTTTCGTATATTGTTATTCGATTGACCAAAGGAATATATTGTTTGTACTTGTCGCTGAGTAGCTGTTCAAGTTCATCTGCTGAAGGTTCATATTTTTCTAATTCAGTCAGAAGTTTCTCCGAAGCACCTATATACAAGCATCATAACTGGATAGTATGGCTCAAATTAGAACAGTAAATCTTACCAAAAGCTGCTCGATTTCCTATGATCCAATGTCTTTCAGGTGGAGAGAAAGTCCCATCAGCTCCAGCAACATTGGCTAAAAGTTTCGAATACCATTCGGATGCTCCTTCCTTAGCTTGCGAAATTAGAATCTCTTGATCACGCATTGCTTTCCACATCCACTTGGCTGTTCTTTCGTTTATTGTGCTGCTGTCCATTTTTGAGCTTTTATGAAGGACAAATGAATCTACAATCACCGTTTTATTATCTAGATGCCGTGGCACGTATAAGTGAGATTATTTTGGATTGGAATACTTTGCTCTTATACTTACCTACGCTTTTAACTCTTTCTTTCGAGCAACCAGGGACGCCTGATACGATCATTCAGTGATTCAAGACAGCAACAGCACAAGCATACATGTAGGGGTGGTACTTTACTTTTACTTTATAAAATAAAGATAAATGAATCCTTTACTCTTAAAAAATAAAGATAAATGGATCATTTATTTTTAAAAAATAAAGTTATATAAATAAAGGAATGCTTTATTTTTAAAAAATAAATGTAAATGAATCATTTATTTTTTAAAAATAAATGGAAAATAAAGGAATAAATAATACTTTTTACGATGACAGATAATGTAATTGAAAGAGCACTAGAATCATGAAATAAAACACATAAACTGTAATGAACATAATTTTTTGTATGATTTAATTCCAAGTGTATCGACATATAAAAAAGCTTCTTTTGGCAGGCACTATTTGCCATTAATATATTTATTTTGGCAGGCACTATTTGCCAT